ATTTTCTATCATCCTACACATGTAGGATTATGGAGCCTGTCTATTTATATTTTATTTTCCCTGTTCTTAACAGTATGAAACCACACAGAGACAGAGAGAGAGAAGTAAATTGATGAATAAAACAAATCCACCATCAGTTTTGTTTCATCATTTGTCAGTTTAATTGGGAAAAAAACACAATGTTTAGAAAGGACTCTATATTCGTATTTACTTTTTATGTTGAGAATACACGATGGAGATTACATTTTCCCTTCTTTAACACTTTAAGCCGCTACGTTTTCTTTCTTTACATGCAAAACATTGAGTTTGGTCGCATTTTTCTGGGTGTTCGGATAAGATTCAGCCTTATTATCATCATCATCATTATTATTATAAATTATTTTATATTATCCTACACATGTAGGATTATGGAGCACAAACAGAAATCGACAAATTAAACCTTTCCTTCTTTAACACTTTAAGCCGCTACGTTTTCTTTCTTTACCTGCAAAACATTTGAGTTTGGTTTCATTTTTCTGGGTGTTCACATAAGTTTCAGCCTTTCTACTATGGACATGAATAGTTACTGTTGATATATTGAGATGAACAGAACGTTTAAAGGAAGTAACACTCAGCCCCACATCCTGCCGTTTCTGTCTATTTATGTTTTATTTTCCCTGTTCTTACCAGTATGAAACCACACAGAGACAGAGAGAGAGAAGCAAATTGATGAATAAAACAAATCCAACATCAGTTTTGTTTCATCATTTGTCAGTTTCATTGGGAAAAAAACACAATGTTTAGACAAGACTGTATATTCGTATTTACTTTTTATGTTGAGAATACATGATGGAGATTTAACTTTTCCTTCTTTCACACTTTAAGCTGCTACGTTTTCTTTCTTTACCTGCAAAACTTTGAGTTTGGTCTCATTTTTCTGGGTGTTCAGATGAGTTTCAGCCTTATTATCATTATCATCATTATTATTACAAATTATTTTCTACTATCCTACACATGTAGGATTATGGAGCACAGACAGAAATCGAAAGATTAAACTTTTCCTTCTTTAACACTTTAAGCCGCTACGTTTTCTTTCTTTACCTGCAAAACATTGAGTTTTGTTAAATTTTGTTGGGTTTTCAGGTAAGTTTCACCATATCTACTTGGACAAAAACCCGATCAGGCCTCAAATGGCGCCCCCTCCTGGTCGGGGAACTGGGGGGCGCAGCCTCTCTTCAGCTTCCTCCCCTCCGGCGTGCCCCGGAAAAACTCCAGGTAGGACGAGAACACGTACTTGTTCAGGACTTTGATGCGGCCGAACATGTCCAGCTCGGAGAAGTTTACTTTAGACTTTTTTGAAAGATGAATAGTTACTGTTGTTATATTGAGATGAACAGAACGTTTAGTGGAAGTAACACTTAGCCCCACATCCTGCCGTTTCTGTCTATTTATGTTTGACTTTTGCTTTTCTTACCAGTATGAAACCACACAGAGAGAGAGAGAAGTAAATTGATGAATAAAATAAATCCAACAGTTTTTTGTACCATCATTTGTCAGTTTAATTGGAAAAAAACTCCCACAATGTTTAGACAGGACTGTATGAAAATGTGTATGACTTCTATAATGGTCTGAGTCGTATGTACTTTTTATATTGAGAATACCTAATGGAGATTAAACTTTTCCTTCTTTAACACTTTAAGCCGCTGCCTCCTCTTTTTTTACCTGCAAAACATTGAGTTTGGTCTAATTTTTCTGGGTGTTCAGACAAGATTCAGCCTTATTATCATTATCATCATTATTATTATCAATTATAAAGTAAATTGATGAATAAAATAAATCCAACATGAGTTTTTTGTATCATCATTTGTCAATTTATTTGGAAAAAAACCCACAATGTTTAGAAAGGACTGTATGAAAATGTGTATTCGTATTGACTTTTTATATTGAGAATACACAATGGAGATGACATTTTTCCTTCTTTAACACTTTAAGCCGCTACGTTTTCTTTCTTTACCTGCAAAACATTGAGTTTGGTCTCATTTTTATGGGTTTTAAGATGAGTTTCAGCCTTTCTACTAGGACAAAAACCCGATCAGGCCTCAAATGGCGCCCCCTCCTGGTGGGGGAACTGGGGGGCGCAGCCTCTCTTCAGCTTCCTCCCCTCCGGCGTGCCCCGGAAAAACTCCAGGTAGGACGAGAACACGTACTTGTTCATGACTTTGATGCGGCCGAACACGTCCAGCTCGGAGAAGTTTACTTTAGACTTTTTTGGAAGATGAATAGTTACTGTTTTTATATTGAGATGAACAGAACGTTTAGTGGAAGTAACACTCAGCCCCACATGCTGCCATTTCTGTCTATTTATATTCCATTTTCCCTGTTCTTACCAGTATGAAACCACAGATAGAAAGAGAGAGAGACGTAATTTAATGAATAAAATAAATCCAACATCAGTTTTTTGTCATTTGTCAGTTTAATCGGAAAAACCCCACAATGTTTAGACAAGACTGTATATTCGTATTTACTTTTTATGTCGAGAATACATAATGGAGATGAAACTTTTCCTTCTTTAACACTTTAAGCCGCTACGTTTTTTTCTTTACCTGCAAAACTTTGAGTTTGGTCGCATTTTTATGGGTGTTCAGGTAAGTTTCACCATTTCTACTTGGACAAAAACCCGATCAGGGGTCAGAGGGCGCCCCCTCCTGGTCGGGGAACTGGGGGGCGCAGCCTCTCTTCAGCTTCCTCCCCTCCGGCGTGCCCCGGAAAAACTCCAGGTAGGACGAGAACACGTACTTGTTCAGGACTTTGATGCGGCCGAACACGTCCAGCTCGGTGTGCTGGAGAAGTTTACTTTAGACTTTTATTGAATATGAATAGCTACTGTTGTTATATTGAGATGAACAGAACGTTTAATGGAAGTAACATTCAGCCCCAGATCCTGCTGTTTCTGTCTATTTATGTTTGACTTTTGCTCTTCTTACCAGTATGAAACCACACATAGAGAGAGAGAGAAGTAAATTCATGGATCAAATAAATCCGACAAGTTTTTTGTATCATCATTTGTCAGTTTATTTGGAAAAACCCCATGTTGTTTAGAAAGGACTGCATGAAAATGTGTATTTGTATTGACTTTTTATATTGAGAATACACAATGGAGATGACATTTTTCCTTCTTTAACACTTTAAGCCGCTACGTTTTCTTCCTTTACCTGCAAAACATTTGATTTTGGTTTAATTTTTCTTGGTTTTCAGATGAGTTTCACCATTTCTACTAGGACAAAAACCCGATCAGGCCTCAAAAGGCGCCCCCTCCTGGTCGGGGAACTGGGGGGCGCAGCCTCTCTTCAGCTTCTTTCCCTCCGGCGTGCCCCGGAAAAACTCCAGGTAGGACGAGAACACGTACTTGTTCATGACTTTGATGCGGCCGAACACGTCCAGCTCGGAGAAGTTTACTTTAGACTTTTTTGGAAGATGAATAGTTACTGTTTTTATATTGAGATGAACAGAACGTTTAGTGGAAGTAACACTCAGCCCCACATGCTGCCATTTCTGTCTATTTATATTCCATTTTCCCTGTTCTTACCAGTGTGAAACAACACAGATAGAAAGAGAGAGAGACGTAAATCAGTTTTTTGTCATTTGTCAGTTTAATCGGAAAAACCCCACAATGTTTAGACAGGACTGTATATTCGTATTGACTTTTTATATTGAGAATACAGGATGGAGATTCAATTTTACCTTCTTTAACACTTTAAGCCGCTACGTTTTCTTTCTTTACCTGCAAAACATTGAGTTTGGTTTCATT